CCCCCCCAACAAAACCCAACGTCACACAACTTTCCTGCCACACGGGGAGATTTGGGCTGTGGAGAAAGGAAGAAGCACTAACACAGAAACTCAAACTTTTTAACCACTAAGCACTGCACTGTGGATTAAAAATCACTGATTTTAATTGAGCATCCCCGTGACATAGAAAATGCACCAAAAACTGTGTTGGATGAATTATGAAACTACAAACTGCGTCAGGTGCTGAGCTGGGAAGTGCCACGTTACCGACTGTGCCCATCTAGCGATGAGAAACGCCGCAGCTGTGGGGCTTCACCCCCGGCAGCCGACAGGACACTGGCAGCAGATCCAGGCTGGCCAGCAGCATCATACCCACGCTGTAACGCTTTTGTTGCCGTTACATTCACTCTCACAAAAGCCTCAGCTGGTCAGCCTTTTGGGAACGTCAAACTCAGCCTGCTACACGTGCTGAACTCTAAAGGGTGTAGATAGGCTAAACCAAGGGGGAAAGGAAAAAAAATAATCACTATTACTGCTACACCAGCTTGTGGCTAAACACAAAAAGCCTTGTCCCTGCACTCATCACGAGGTCTGAGCGACATTTTTTGACAAAATATCACTGTACAACCAAAGAACGAAGCAGTAAGAAAGTTACTGCAACTACTTTCTTGCCTAAGTAATCTCAGAGGCAGTTTTTGGGGAGAAATCAGCATTCCAGCCCAACGCCAGGCCACTTCCACTGAATGATCCTGATCCTGATAAATGTTCAAATACACAGCAGCTGGCTAGCACAGCAGTATTTGCTCACACACGCCACTGGCAGTCAGGGCTTGGGTGGGTTTTTTCAAACAGTTTATTTAAAGGACACATCCCTAATATAAGGATGTTGGTGGCAGCAATGGCACCTACCCAGGGTGTTCAGGTTAGTGTCTTAAGAAATAATGAGAGGCTCCTTTACACCTTATTAACCTTTAATTGATACTTCAGCAAAGAAATACTAACTTTTGGGCCAAGCTTCAAGTATCTTCGAAGAAACTATTGCCCAAGGAAGGGACAGGGAGACTGTGACAAAAGAGAAGCCTCCTCTCTGTGCCACACTACCTGATCCATGCACTCTGAACACTCTCAGGTCTGTACCAACCAGCAAGAGCAAATAGAGTCCATGGCAGAAGACAACAAAAAGGCACGAACATAACATTTTTTTTTAAGAATTTCCATGGAAAGCTGGTGCATAAATAATCACTGTGTATCGGTATTGTAGTCTCATTTGTTATTTAACGTGTCCAAATCTTAGTTCTGACAAAAAAGACAAATTTTAAAAAAGATAATCCTGCAATTAATTCAGAATGTTACTTGCTTTACAGTTTACTGTTCCAGTGGGCTTAGAGGATGCCAGACAGGCTAGAGTTGAAAGTACTGGTTTAAGCCTTTCAGCACAGGTGACGTCAGAGATGTAAATGCAAAGTCAACTGCAACGAGTTAAATTGCCTCATGAAGGTAACGAATCATCTCAGACTTGTCAGGCTATTGCTGAGGGTACGACCGTTCCAAACCCCGTTGCAAATGTGGTGGCAGTAGATTCTCAGCGCAATTTGGGGGTGGCTGCCTTTCACTAAAAGCAACACATGGTACGTCAGCTCTGGCTACCCACAAGAACAGCCTGAAAAGGACAAAAGTAGTAAAAAAGTAACAGCCTCCCTCCACTTCAACTTCCAGTAAGTGGTTTGCACAGTCTCACCCTTCTACCAAGCGAGAAAAAACTACCTTTTGCTAAGGGAACCCTAAGCTTTATAGGAAATATTTCAAATTTAGGCTGGAAAAAAGGTAGGCTTTTAATCAGTCGGCTAATGAAGCTCACTTACTAGCACTGCAAGGCAACGCACACTGGATGACTGCTGCTGAAAATCGCTCCCGTTGCAATAAAGTCTATTCTCGCATCACATTTCCCAAACGGTATTTCGACGCGGGCTAATTTTCCAGAACTTCACACCATGTAATACTGCCCTTAATCCTGACGCGCCACCGGCCGTCCCCTCACACCACCCAGGGTGACAGCAGCAAAAGATTAATAGAAAGAAAAAAGAAAAAAAAAAAAAAGGCCGAAGCAG